CACACACACACACACACACACACACACACACACACACACAGAAGAGCCAGTTGGTGTACTAGACCTACAATGTACATTACCAAGGAGGGCAATCGAAACAGCGAAACACATACCCCACCCGGGAAGAACAGTCAACCCATTGAAGGAATCTCTCTCTCTCTCTCTCTCTCTCTCTCTCTCTCTCTCTCTCTCTCTCTCCTTGTGTTCAACGCACATCTCTACTCCTCAGACATGACCCTAGCACGAAGGCCAAATGACAACGCGCCTACGAAACAGAAGAAAAACAATATGGGATCGGGGGAAGAAAAGCGGGGAAAAAAAAGGAACCGCAACGAAGATGATAAACCTGAAAATGCGATGGACAAAATCTGAGACATGGCAAACAAAGTGCAAAATGGAAAAACGACAATCTGGAAATGATATCAATCAATCAACCAATCAATCAATCAATCCCAGTACTTGATGAGCCCATCCCAACCGCAGGTGACCACTTTGCTCTGTTCCAAGGGGTGCCATTCGCAGCCAATGCACACCCCCTCGTGAGCTTTTAGAGTTCTGAACACTTTGCAAGTCTTCCAGTCCCAAAACCAACACCTCCCCTCTGCATCCCCCGACATTAGAAACCTCCCATCAGGAGAGAAATTGACCTGACAAGCGTATCCTGCACACAAGTGGCCTGCAAATCTCTTCTTCTTGTTCAATCTAAACCTTTCTCTAGTGCTATATACCAAGATCTGGTTGTCTAACGACTGCGCAGCAAACCAATTGCCATTAGGATGGACACATATCGACGGCATAGAATGCATATGAGGCTCACTAATATACTTTATCACGACCGGAATGCCAAATTCCCACACACGAAGCGACTTGTCATCACTGGAAGTCACAAATCTTCGATTCTCATCGACGAAGGTAATGGTATTAACCGCTCCCAAGTGCTGATCATACTCTTGAGTGATCTCTCCTGTGTTGATATCCCACTGCACAATCTTCTTGTCACTCATGCCCGCCAACAGTATGTTCTGTTTATCATCATCAGGATTGAATTTCACGACGTAGGGAATCTTGCCCGTGCCGAACACCTTCTCCACCACCCCCGACTCTGTGTCCCATAACTTAATCTTGCGATCATAGCCCGCGCTCAAGAACTTAGTGCCGTCCTTGTTGAAACAGATATCCCTCACGGCTTTCTGATGACCCATGTAGGTGCGCATGCACTTGCCCGATCCGTGAACATCCCAGATCTTGATCTTCGTATCCATCCCCGCAGAGAGGAGAAGGTGTCCGTACTTGGGAAACAACCTAATTGTGCTAACACCTTTGGTGTGCCCACTCCAGGTATGCACCCATCGCTTGGGGATATAACAATGGTCGTTGGTCGCCTTGCGGTCCTTGGGCGGTGCCAGCCAAGATCTGCCTTGGTAGTCCACCGAGGCTTTGCCGTGAAACACACTCTTCTCCTGATACTCTGCTTTATCGCCCTTCTCCTCGGCCTTCTTCTCTCTGTACTCCTCTCGGTACTTCCTTTGCTCCTCCGTCAGCTCCGCCGCCGGCCCTTCATTCCGCTTCGCCCACGGACTCTTGTAATCCAGCCACGTGTCCGATGCAGGATTAAGTGTTGACATCAACTCCTCGTCTACTGCCACTTCAGCACCACTGACATCATCAACGCCAACCCCATCTCCAGCACCAGGAGTAGAAGCACCAGGAGGAGCACCACTGACGTCAACACCAACGCCTTCTGCAGCACCAGCAGCAGAAGCAGCAGCAGTAGAAGAACCAGCAGCAGCAGCAGCAGGAGGAGGAGGAGGAGGAGGAGGTGGTGGTTGAACCCTAGAAGGTGGTGGGTCGCGGAACTCTGCCCGCCGCTTGCGGTGCTCCCATTGTGCAGTAGTGAAGACGGACGCGCCGCCGTGTTCCTCCACACTCAGCTGGCTTCCAATGAGCTTCAACCCCTCTGCACTGCACGGGTCGGCGGCATAGCCGTAGGCGTGAAATGTGTGGAATTGCTCGTCGAATAAACACGGGTCTATCGATGAATCTTCTACGAAACCCGTCTTGTGATTCCTTGGACCCCTCAGTAGACCCCTCGCCTCTCCAAAGGGTGCTTTTTGCGTAATTATCGACATCGTTGCTTCCCCCCATAGCTGAGAATAAGTCGGATTGAAGTTGACTTGTCTCTTCTTCGAGTCGAGAGGAATTGGCGGCGCGATCACTCTCCCCTCCCCATCCAACGGCACACTAACATCAGGAGCAGAACACTTCGACGGCAATGGTCTGTACTCAAACTCCTCTTCTTCCTCTTCCTCTTCCTCTTCCTCCCCCTCTTTCACCTCCTCCTTGTCCTTGTCCTTATTCTCCTCGTTCTCCTCCTCGCCATCTTCTTCCATTTCCGAGCCGTCACTCTGCTTTCTTCGTTGTCCTCCACCTCCTTCTCCTCCCTCTCCTCCTCCTCCTCCTTTCACTGTTGTACTCACGTCTGCCATCTCCTCGTCCTTCACATCTGCGTGCTTCTTCTCCTCTACTACGCATCCTACCGTCCTCCCTCCTTCGCTTTTCTCCTCCTGGCCTGAATCTTCGCTGTCGTCGCTATATTGCGCCGCCAACAGATCCATCGCTGTTCCCTTCTCCCGCCTTTTATCAAAAAGAATCAACGACTGTTTTTGCGCCAATCAAAGAAAAATGCCCGCCAATCACAGAGAATCAATGTTTCTTCTTCCCGCCAATTTTCCTCCTCATCCGTCGCCGCCGTCCCGCCTTCACTCTTCCTATTGCTGCATATCAAAATATGGAAAATTTTTCCAAAAATGGAAAACTGAAATAGGAGGCCCCGAAAAAATCTCACAAGTTTCGCTCTTCTCTTCGAGCCTCGTGCTCTCTCCTCCTCCTCCTCCTCCTCCTCCTCCTCCTACGCGTTACTCTTCCTCCTAGTTTCCCACCATTTCTTTCACCGTTCCAATTCCCGCCACGACAATCGCCCGTTGCCTCGCGGCAAATCGCTTGGAACTTTTCGCCCACGAGCTTCCCGCCTTTTTCTCCAATCGACTCTGTCCTTCCCTGGCGCTTTCCCCTGGCGCTCCCCGCCACTGCCCCTCCTCTTTCCCGCCACTGCCCCTCCCTTTCCCGCCACTGCCCCTCCACTTTCCCGCCACTCCTCCACCCTTGTTCCCGCTACTACCGTCTTCCCCCGAACATAACGCACCCTAAAAATGAATGTATACAAGCTATATTTCCGGCCAGATACAGCGAAAATGAGGGTGCGTCGTGTTCGGGGGAAGACGGTAGGATCTGCCGATCGGTAGATCTCTGTACTCGAACACGGACAACTCCCTCTCCTCGTTCCCGCCAACGAGTTTTCTCTTCTTTCCCGCCACTCCTCCTCCCTTGTTGCCACAGTGGATCTTCTCAGAACACAGGCCAACCCCTCTCCCCCCCCCTCCTCTTTCCCGCCTATTTTTCTCTCTCTTATGACTTCCCGCCGCCGCCCCTCCCCCTGGTATTCCCGCCACTAGGGTCGTTGGCTAGATCCAGTCCATCCCGCGCCACGCCACGTGTCGTCCGCATGTTCCTTTCTCATTCCCTGTCTTTGCTGGCGAAGCCCCCACTCCCTCGCCTCATTCCCGCCAACGATCTCTCTTCTTTCCCGCCCCTCCTCCTCCCTTATTCCCACAGTGGAGCTTCTCAAAACACAGCCCCCGTCCCCCCCTCTTTCCCGCCAATTTTTATCTCTCTTATGATTTCCCGCCGCCGCCCCTCACCCGGCTTTCCCGCCACTTGGGTCGTTCGCTAGATCCACTCACTCCCGCGCCACGCCACGTGTCGTCCGAGCATTTCTTAATCATTGCCTGTCCTTCCCGGCGAAGCCGCTGCTTTACTGATTTTACTGAATTTTTTTTTTTCTTGAAGCTCTTTGATTTGTCCCTTCTGAGCCGACTGATTATAATATCTGTTTGAAATATTACTCTATACTCAATTCAATCATTTCTGCGGAGGGACTCCTGAATGGAGTGATTGGCAAATGACACAACGATGGAGTCGTTATCACACCTGAAGGATCGCTGCGCGCTTGCTTCGGTCTTTCCCGCCACCACTCGACCCCTTGCCCCGCCGTTGTTCCTGCGGGCGCGCCCTTTTTTCCGCCAACGTTTTTCGAATATTTCAAAACCGAGTCGGGCGCTGGCCGCAAGGCACAACATAAGCCGCCCCCCCCCCGCCCCCCCCTTTTCCGACCGTATGGGCCTTTCCGGAAAAACAGAGCCCCAAAAAAAGGACCACCTTCAAAACCTCACGACGCAAAAGAGGCCGAACGAGAAATCAATTCAATTTTCTTCACCGGGCCATCCCCACGCCCTCACTCCTTCCCGCCAAACTTGTTCCCCCCGCTGGAAAACTCGCGTACCGTTGACAGTCAACGTCCAGGTCAAAGTCAAGGTCCTGGGCTATTTCCCGCCAGTAAATGACGATCGTCTGTCCTGTCATCGTCCAGTGACGTACCTGTGTCGCTTTCTTTTTTTTTTTCCCAAAATAAATCCATGTGCCTTCTACTATAGAGCCCCAGGAACATCCCCTGCTCCTCCTCCTCTTCCTCCTTTTTCCACTTCGCCCAGCTTAATTACACGGCTCCAATCCTTCCCCTCGCTTGCCCGTTCACCCCCCTCCTCTAATTAATCACCCCCCTCCTCTAATTAATTGACTTACCGTGAGGGCACGGGTGCGCAGCCCGTAGTTCGTTTGTTTATGTGGTTCAGGAAGGGTAAGGTATTGATTATGCTGTATGTATGTTTTGTCATGTTCGCTATACACAACTCGAAGAGTGTGTGTGTGTGGGGTGCCGGTTGGTGCTTTATTCACCATGTTCATGGGACGCTGGACCTAGTTTCCAGCAGGTGGCGCTCCCCATCAATAGACAAGAGAATGTATATGTGTGTGTATGTGAGTGTGTGTGTGTGTGTGTGTGTGTGT